GGTGGTACACCTCCCACCGGTAGTACCCCACCTGGCGCACCACTCGGTGCCATGGCAATCATTGAAACCAATGCAGCCTCCAGTCCGATAAATAGCTAGGCGTTTCGGACTGAACGGACAGCGGCATCATCAAAGGTGCACCTGCATCCAGTTCAAATAGGGCACTCTATACGATCCGCATCACAATGATCCCTGCAGTTTCGTCTTTCCCTGGTGCAGACAAAGGGCGAGTGGGCGGAGGAGAGGCACAGAAAACTTCATGTCCTTTGACTACGACATACGTCACAAACACCTCAGTACAGACAAAGGGCGAGTGGGCGGAGGAGAGGCCCAGAAAACTTCATGTCCAACTGACGTTGACTGTCAGTACCGAGGTGTTTGTGACGTATGTCGTAGTCCCGAGAGGCATGGGGGGGGGGGGGAGGGGGGGGCACAGGAGCCCGTCTTGCCAGAATTGATCATCTCCTTCACTAACTTGGGACCTCACATGCATCTTAGCTATGGCTGATTATTCCACAGGGCGCTTCACTTCAATCCTAGCTGCAGCCGGCTCTCCATTTCAAGAAGGAAATCCCCTCTCCATCCTCTTCAACCTAGCTAATTGATCTACTCTCTCTCGTGGGCCTCCAAACCTCAGGGGAGTCCCGCCACCACTGAAAGACTGATGCCTTGATTGAAGCCAGCAGGTTCTTTGCAGTACTCTTTACTAGTTGTCTCCCTTGATTGAAGACCGCAGGTTCTTCGCAGTACTCTTAATAGGAGTCTGCTTGTTAAAAACGCAGCTATGGCTGCCGATCGCCATGTGAGCTTCTTCCACCCTCAGGCCTCTTCTCTCTCCCAAATGCATCCTCCTCCCCAGTCCTCCTTCTCCTTCTCCTTCCTCCTACTCCACAACTAGTTATGGCGATCGGCTACCACATCCAGATATCACGCCTGTGGTAGCAACTGGACTCCTCACCAATTATAGAAGCAGTGGCCTGAATGTTGGTCCTATTAGGAGGGGGGGGGG